GGAGAAGGACAGAAGAAAGTTTAGGCAATGGTTAGAGCTTGTGTGGAGAAGAAAGGGAGAAGGGAAAAAAATTCAGTAACTTACAGTAGGAAGACTTGGCCAACCAGCAGCTCTTCCTTTGGTGGTCCTGCAGAGAGAGAAGATTCTTTAACCGGCCATGTAAGCTATGCAAAACACAGAGATAAACACGTGGCAGGGAATCCAATTAAGTGAAAAGTAAAAGAAGGCTCTTTAAAGCTAGGGAGAAGCTAACAGTTTTACCGGTTGGTTTCAAAAGCATTTTTCTAATAGGATTTATTGAAAGCAAAATTTTTATGGTCAGTAAAAGAGCAAAGATATTACTTGTTGTATGAGCCATTTTGTCTCTTGCCTGAGCTGGTGTTTAGAGTACTGTGCTAGACTCTGCTTTTTTCTGAGGAGCTAGCTGAGAACCCAGTGTAAGCCTCTGCTATAGCTATCATTTGGAAATGAGTTTGGGACATTGTCTTTGTCTTGAAAAAAAAATTGAAATTAATTAATTTTTTATTTATTACAATTCACTGGCTTTTTATCCCAACTGAGGCCCCCTCCCTGCCCCTCCGAATTCTACTCTTCCTCCCTCATCACCTTCCATTCCCCTCCCCCAGTCCACTGATAGGGGAGGTCCTCCTCCCCTTCCATCTGACCCTAGCCTATCCGGTCTCATCAGGAGTGACTGCATAGTCTTCCTCTGTGGCCTGGTAAGGCTGTTACCCCCTCAGCAGGAGGTGATCAAAGAGCCAGTCACTGAGGCAGCTCAGTCTCCAAGTGGGTTCCCTAGTAAAGGGAACAGGGAACAGGGGCTGTCTCTGATATAAACTTATTGAATTCTTATTCAATATATTTTTTTTATTATGCCACGGTATAGCTCTGTTACTTAAGATGTGTTGTTAGTAATATGAAGTGGTTTAAATAAGTAAACATGAACAAAACTCAAAGAATACAGGCATTTGTGTATTACCCAATGAATATATATGCACACACACAAACCCACAGCCCCCTGCCCTTCCCCACACCTCCACATTAACATCCGTGAGGCAGAACCTATCCTGGCACACACAACACACAATGCAGCCTAAATAACTGGGTAAAACACAGGGCTGAAAGTGGACAAAACTAACCTAGTTCTCTTCAGTTTCTCTGGCGTGTCCACGTGGACGTGGAGTCCTTGCAGCACAGAAGTACTATTCACTCATTTGAGCATCCTGAGAGTTCAGTGAACAGCAAGTCCTAAACCCACCTGCCTTCAGAGTTCCAGACTGTAAGTTTTGGAGACTGTTTTCCCAGAGATCAGCAAGTCTTCACGGCAGAGGGGAAAACAGTTTCTGTCTGTCTGCCTGTCTCTCCCTTCCTCTTCCCCATATCCCCCTTCCCTCTTTGTCATGGTGCATACTTTTTATCCTCTCCGAACTTCAGCGCCTTTAAAACAGGTTTGTTACCATTTTGACTGCTGTGCAACAATGACTGTGGCTATAAAGCACCTGAGATCTAATCCTACTGTTCCATCACCATTCTTTCCAGGATTGTATTGATTTTAATAAAAGTGACTCGGAATCAATTAAAAAACCAGCGCAAACACTTATGAAGTTATCCTAGAAGTTTTGGACCACATAACTGTGATTAACTTCTGGTAGCTTGTTATTAAGTAGTGGGGTTATAGATGGAAAGTGTCAAATGCTGATATTTTTAGCCAAATGTAAGAAAAATGTTATTTATCAAGAGTGTCCATGTTTATGGTGGTACAATCTCTGTTGTGGACACAGGGGTATCTTTGGCAAGCCAAGTAATAGTTTAGATACATTTGAGTGAAAAGGGGAGTGGGTGAGAATTTTGGAATACTAAAACGCAGTGAAGAACAGAACAGCGGAGTCTTCTGTGATAAGCACTCTGAACTAGAACATGGAAGGAAGTGATCCAGTTAGGCTGAGATCTTCATTCTGGCTGAGGCTCTAAGGAGGGATCTCTAAGAGGGATCCCAGAATGCTCTTTCCACCTCCACTCTAAGATTTTGCATTTTAACAGGCTTGATGACACCGACATGGGGATTAGAAGAGAGCAGGAAATTTCAGTTATCATTGTGGCTCAGCTCCTGTTACTCCTGAGACTAGAAACCAGAATCATGGTACAGATCTGAGCACTGGTTAAAGAGGAATTGTACAGACTTGTAGGCTGCAGCAGGTAGTGGAGGGAAGCAGTTATTCAGCTCTCTGCTCCCTGTAACTGGGAAACCTTTTAAAAATCTTAAGCATTTGGTACATCACTTGTCCACTAGAGATCCAGTTATCTTTCTGATAAGGATTATACCATTGTGTGTGTTTGTGTGTGTGTGTGTGTGTGTGTGTGTGTGTGTGCAATTTGGATAGGAGCAAAGTTTGACTGTCTCCTGTAAGGTAGAATCTATAAATTATTTGGCCAAGGAAGAGAGAATTCCATGCTTTTAAGGGCAATGAACTATATCCTTTCTCATCACATATTATATTCTAAACAACTGACAGAGGCACAATGCATTGCTAAGAAAAGAACTACGAAGCCAACCGGCCATAGCTTTTATGGGCATTCATTTTGTTTGCCGTCACTGTGGTACATTTTCTTTCATTTGAGGAAAAATGAGGTGTATATTCTTGCTGCCTTAGTTCTTGTGCCAAATTCCCCAGAGAATTTCCCTATTTTAGTTGGGGAAAGAAATGGAAAGCTGCAAAACTAAAATATTGCTGGTTCCTTCTAAGTTTCAGCCTTTAGTGTTCTGGTGATGGGCTTCCGTCTTCCGTGTTTTTATCTTGGCTGTCATGTCTGCCGTGTGCCTGGTGAAACTATCAACAAGTAATGAATATAATCTACCTCCTAGGCTCTGTGCATTTTCTGCCTCCCTGTTCATTCATCTGTAGTGGATTTTAATATATTGACTTGACATTTCTGATGCTGATATTTGTTAGAAGGTAGAGTAAACTGAAATGAAACAAGGGCTAGAGGTTTCTAAGCAACAAAAAAACCTGTCCCTCATTAGATGAGTGGCATATTCTTCATGACCCGAACAAGTGGTCAAATGACCAAATGCCACTAACTCCAGAGGCATCTGGCAGCTTCAGCCAGCAGGTCTTTGGCCCATATTGGAATTTCCCAGCCTGTCTTTACTTACATCATTCTTTTAACATTAATTTTCCATTCTCAGGGGAAAATTGTTCTTTTATATGTATTCACAGAAAATATATGTTGATTTCCATGGGAACTAAGGTATTATTTCTTTAAATGAATGTTACCCATGGGATCTGGAAAGGATCATCCTGAGTGAGCTGTCCCAGAAGCAGAAAGACACACATGGTATATACTCACTCATATAGACATATAACATAAGATAAACCTACTAAAATCTGTACATCTAAAGAAACTAATTAAGAGAGAAGACCCTGACTAAAATGCTCAATCCCCATCCTGAAAGACAAAGAGGATGGACATCAGAAGAAGAAGAAAACAGGAAACAACCTAGGAACCTGCCATAGAGGGCCTCTGAAAAGCTCTGTCCTGCAGACTATCAAAGCCAGACGCTGAGACTTATGGCCAACTGTTGGGCAGAGTGCATGGAATCTTATGTAAGAAGTGGGAAATAGTAAGATCTGGAGAGGACAGGAATTCCACAAGGAGAGCAACAGAACCGGAAATTTGAACACAGGGGTCTTCCCAGAGACTCATGCTCCAACCAAGTACCAGGCATGGAGATAACCTAGAACCCCTGCAGAGATGTAGCAAATGACAGTTCAGTGTCCAAGTGGGTTACATAGTAACGGGAAGAGGGACTGCCTCTGACATAATCTGATTGGCCTGCTCTTTGATCACCTCCCCTGGTAAGGGGGAGCAGCCTTACCAGGCCACAGAAGAGGACAAAGTAGCCACTCCTGATGAGATCTGATAGACTAAGATCAGAAGGAAAGAGAGGAGGACCTCCCTTATCAGTGGACTTGGGGAGGGGCATGCGTGAAGAAAGGGGAGGGAGGGTGGGACTGGGAGGGGAGAAAGGAGGGGCTTATGGGGGATACAAAGTGAATAAAGTGTAATTAATAAAATAAAATAAAATTAAAAAATGAATGTTAGCCATGCATACTACAGGTAGGAATAAAAAAAAATGGTATCATCTTCCTCCCTGGCTTGTTCATTTAGAAAAAGTGGATTAGACTCTTATTGTAAGCAATGCAGGGAAAATGTAAGCAAGGTAGATGTTGATTCAGACTTTCATTAGTAATAGTTACTCATGCTTTCCTCCTTTTCTCTCCATACTTCGAGGAGTAGAGTTAGAATGTTAAGAATTTATGAAGGAGAGACAACTGGGATAGTTTGCAGAGCCACGAGGAATGTGTAGAAAAGTGCATGTATGGCTCCTATTCTTACTTTCACAATTTAGGATTAGAAGAACATCAGATGGAGGATTCCCCTGCCTGGGTTCCAACTGTGGCTTTGTTTTCTCTGCAGGAGATCTTGGGGTTGTTTAAATTTACTAAGGGACAATTCCTGCTAATGTCTCACTCTCCTGCATCAAATACGATGATGTTGCCTGTCTGACAGGGGTGTTGGTTTGATGATAATTATTTTCTTAGACGTTGTTGTATGTGCATGACTGTAAGGAGAGCCATGGCCAGGACGACTAGGAGAGGGAAGCAACCATCCAGGCTGTGGATTTGCTCAAAGCCCCCTTCCCCAGATGAAACACAAGGCACCAGGCTCCATGCATGTGTTATATACATGCCTGATGTGATGGCTAGTACTTCCCAGAACTTGCCTCTGCTGGTAGCCTTCTTGGTGCCTAGCATGATTCTTGACACAGGAGTGGGTATGTGACAGTAACACTTTTTGTCTTTAGTATTACTTTTACTCAGAGCTAAGGGGAAGATTGTGTTCTTTATTTTGTGAGTTAACCTTTCCTGGCTACGACTTTGGCTTTTCAAATACTAACACAACGGACTTTCTTTCCTCCCTACCCCTCTTGTTAATAGGGTGCTGAGAAAATTTTGTCCATGAACGAATCAGGAGAACTGCAAGACCTCTTAACCAAAATTGAGGTAATTGTGCTTCTAACAGCTTATTTTTAGTAAGAAAAAATGTTAAACACATTCTGATTATAATCGGTTTCCTAGTTGAATTTTTATTCCATGTTCGTACAAATATATAACAGTATATGTGTGACAGTTGTAATTGGGTATCTCCTGTTATTACATTTGCTCAAACTAGGGTGATTTTAATATCTGCTTCTAATAACCTCATCCTATTAACTGAACTTTTTAGTTGGCTTTATCTGAGACTGATTGTAACAGAGGTGTTGATGAAGCATTAAACTAGACAATTGTCTTAAAGCACACCTATTCTCATGGATGTATTCATCATTTATGAAGGTAAAAGGAAAACTATTTCTAGAGAGACATATTTTAATTTTTGCTCCTACCTTCTACTATTTATAATTATAGCCTCAGAGACACAATTCTTCAAATATATAGTACATTTAATTAATATGCAACTGAGAAACCCTTAGCATTTCTCTAGTAGATGATTTTACTAGCTTGTTTCTTCCTGCACATTGGGAGACCATATATTTTATCATCCAGATGAAAATACTTTTAAGAGTGAAAATTACGCATTCATAACTATCCAGAGTTTTCCGGGTGAACAAGGCAAGAGAGCGCCCATATGCTTTAACTGGTTCTTCTTGTTTTCACCTTATTTTTTAATTCTCTCCTATACCTTCTACGTCAGTCAAGACTAAGATCTATGTGGCCCCCTTTGCTCTCTTAGAACCACTAATTTATGCAAGTTCTGTCTACCCTAGGGTGTTTCTCAATTGCTTCTCAATTCGTTTCACTACAGGCAATGTCTGTATTATCTATCTCTAGTGCCAGATCTGAAAATACTGTCTAGTCTTTCCTGCCTTCTTATCTCTATGACTCTTTATATTGTATTGTTGCCAAACTATGTCTTGTATCACTTTCATTTGGGTTTTTGGTTTACATTCCAAATGAGCTACACACTCCTTGATTCTAAGAGTCATTTCATCTTTCTCAGGAAGAAAACAAAATGTGTTTACTCATTTGACAAATGGTTTCCAAGAATTTTTCTTTGGGAGACAATGGTGTCTGTTCAAAAATTTGCTTGCATAAAACAGTGACTCAGAAAATTTTTTTGATAATTTCTGTTATAATATTGACAGCTGCATTACATTTATACACAGTGGTCCAATAAATGTGATAGGTAGAGAGAAAGTTCTTCTGAACTTTGAGAGTTTCTGGATGTCGAAGTAGAATATACCATGATCTTAGCATTCTCAAGTTGTGTTCTGTATTATGGTTTGAAACTTTGAGAAAGTTAGTTGGAAGACCAGCTCTAATGATAGTTATGTGACTTTGGAAATGTACCTTTACTCCTTGGAGTCCTGATAGGTTCAGATATCAAATGAGAGTATGCACTAAAACTCCATTCAACTAAAATATTTGCATCAGTTGATTTTTTTCTTTCTTTTTGTTCCTCTAGACCACTTAATTCCCATAAATCCATTAATTTAGGTTAATGCATATATTTTAATTTAACATGGACAACTTGCATACTGTATATCATTATTTATTATTTAGTTTTCTGAGCATATTTTAATGCTATGCAAGTGATATTACAGAATACACCTGATTTGATTTTATCTTGATATGTGAACATGGAAAGCATTTAGTTTAACAGCTGTATATCTCTCCAAGATAGTCCTCTCTAGTAGCTCTTGCTTCCATGTTGGAAACAGTTTCTGCCTGAACTGTCCAATATAGTAGCCACTAGCTTCCAGGAGCTATTGAGCATGGAACATATGGCTGGGTGACCGAGGAACTGATTTTCTTTTCTTTTCTCTTTTCTTTCCTTTTTTTTTTTGTGATAGGGTCTCATTTAACTCAGGCTGGCTTCCAGCTTACTAAACAGATGAGGATGACCTTGAACTCCTGATATTCTTGCTTACACCTCCCAAAAAAATGAATTTTTAATTTTTATTTATTTTTTTAATTAAAATTGAAATGTAAACAGTCTTATGTAAATTGCATTGTATTGATTGGCTGGTTTTATGTAAACTTGGTGTAAGCTAGAGTCATCAGAGAGAAAGGAGCTTCAACAGAGGAAGTGGCTCCATAAAATTAGGCTGTAAGGCATTTTCTTAATTAGTGATCAATGAGGGAGGGTTCAGTCCATTGTGGGTTGGTACTCCTGGTTTCTATAAGAGAGCAGGCTGAGCAAGCCATGGGGAGCAAGCCAGTGAGCAGCACTCCTCCATGGCCTCTGCATCAGCTCCTGCCTCCAGGCTCCTGCCCGCTGTTCTACTTTCCTCCTGTTCTACCTTCTTTGGTGATGAACAGTGATGTGAAATATAAGCTAAATGAACCCTTTTCCTCTCCGATTTGCTTTCTTGTTCATGATGTTTAATTACAGCAAGAGAAACCCTAAGTAAGACAAGCATTTTAATTCTATACGTTAGTAATGCCTTTTAGAGTCTTATAGGAGGAATGAGCCTTGATAGTTTTCTTTGCACAGATATATAAATAACTTAAATTTTCTGAACACTTATTCCTTTGTATCCATGATTCTTTTATTCTGCCATTTAATATCAACATACTAGTTAAATGTAACTGATATTTCTCTTCCAGCTTACAGAGCTTTGAGAAATATTTTGTCTAGATTTGTCTCAATTTTGCAATCAGCTCACTTGAGGTACAAATATTAAGAATATTCCTAATTTTGAAAAGAATGGTGTTCTACTGGCTTCCGTTGTTACAGCAAGTGTGGTGCTACAATTTGGTTGACCTCTTGTCTGAATGGTGAACGTGGTAAAGGATTTGTAAGCATCCAAGAAACCCTAGAACTCCTCTCACGAGGGAACTGGGGTTTAATGAAAGATCACCTGAAAAAAGAGACAGGCCCTAGAGAAGCACTAGATGATAAGTCAAACTGGATGAGGATTCAATATTCCCAATCTGAGCCTTCCAGCATTTCTGGTTAGTTTCGGCAAGACTTAAATATTCACAAGGCTGGAAACTTTTAAATCCTGATTATGTCGCAAGTAATATACTTGGTGTTATATATACTGAATGATTGAAATAGGTTCTATTATTATTCCCATGATGCCATTAAGGGAACAAAGGCACAGAAAGAGACTAAATCACTTTCTCAGGATGTTACAGAAAATATTTAATTCCTGAATCTGAACAGACTGTCTCTAAAGCCTATAATAGTAATCATGAAGCTATGCTCTTGTATCTCTAATAAAAGTGGGACATACCATTTTATTATGGCATGTTAAAGGACTAGCGGAAACATTTATCTATTGTGTTAGGTGCAGAGAATAAGTTATTCTAACACTGCGGTCTGTTTCTCATGGAACATCCCAGGAGGTGGACAACTGGTCATTCTATAGGAAAACATTAGACAGGTCCTACGATGTTCTGATATGTATTATTGGGTACCACATGGCGGTCATTAAGTGCCATTGGCCCTCATAGTCCAAGTCCCAGTCTTAACAGTTATTCTAAGTGAAGGGGAGGAACAAGGCTTAGCAGTTATATGAAGCCCACAGAAGGAAATCAACAAACAATTTTACATTTTCTGCTTAGAGAATGCTACTATGTATACTGTTTAAGTGAACATTTCTCTGGCAAGCCGAGTGGCTGGGACTTATTGGTAGAGCTTGTCTGGTCCCTACACATGAGGAACTGGCCAAGTGGAGCAGATTTACATGACACAACAGCCATGTCTTGCCTCACATTTGTCATTGAAATAGCCATTTTTGAAAAACAAACAAAACCCAGTGGTCTCAGACTGGTTTCATCCTTGGGCCCTAAGCATCAAAATTAAACAGTGAATTAAAAGCATATTTACTTTTCCTTTACAGAAGCAAACTCTTAAATCAGAAGGCTAGTATCGATGCATGTAAATCAAATAACCCAGCATATCTCTGATCACCTCCCCCTGGGGGGTTGCAGCCTTACCAGACTATGAAAGAAGACAAGGCAGCCAGTCCTGATGAGACCTGATAAGCTAGCTAGGGTCAGATAGAAGGGGAGGAGGACCTCTCCTATCAGTGGACTAGGGGAAGGGCATAAGGGGATAAGGGGAAGGGAGGTTGAAATTGGAAGGAGACGAGGGAGGGAGGCCACAGCCAGGATACAAAGTGAATAAATTGTAATAAATAATAAATAATTAAGCAAGTAAAAAACTTAAAAAACAACCCCGCATAATAGAACACAGGTGAGTCATGTGACTTTGAACAGTTTAGCTGGAGACAGCAGCTGGTGCATATGACTTAAGGCAGTGGCTTATTAATAAAATAATGGCTTACAATACCTAACCTCACTGTGTGCCAGCCAACCTTCCATTCATCCAATGTGGATTAGTTCACTAAATCCTGTCAATAACTGGGTAATCGAAGAAAGACCTCCTGGATCCTAAAGACAGGACTTTAGGATGGCCTCGATACAGCAGTCACTCTGTTAGCATGAGAATATAGATTTCAGTGTCAATATGTTAATTTTCTCTTAGGAAATTCATCAGTTGTGACTTTCAAATAAACTATGAAGTCTGAGTAGATGCTTGGTACTACTGGATTTAACATTTGATGCTTTTATTCATCAAAAGTCATATTGTAGGCTCTATTTCAGAGCTGATGCAAACTAAATTCTAAATCTGTTGTATTACAATTTTAAGTTCCTGTGTATGACAGCCCGATGTTCAGGGTGACAGTGACAGAGGTGGAGAATGAGCATAGGCAGTTGACGAGATTTCACACTCTATTTCAGCTTTGCTGTTCTTTGTCATCGTAAGTGTTCTCTGGGGAAAAGCATATAGTATTTTAAAATTTCATCATTCAAACTGCTCCAGGACACAACAGGAGTTGGTTTTAGACAAAGACCACCTGATGCTCTTTTATATTTTTTTATTGAAAATGCTGAGGCACATTTTTTTTTAACTACAAAGAAATTTACATTGGTCTATAAACAGTTGTTTTCCAAACATCCTTCCTGTTGCTTGATAGCACCTGCCCTGTTTGGCTGCCAAAGAGGCTTGATGCCCACTCACATTTTAATGATAAATTGAGTGGTAAACAATAAATTGTAGTTTAATTATTTCCAAGAAAATTTATATTTTTATATAAAGTATTTGTTACAGATCTGAAATTCAAATTTAACTTCATTTGCCATATGTGGCCACCTTGTTCTACTGGAACCCACACCTGTTTACAATCTAGCAATAATGAACGGAGTCCTGGACTCCTGAGCCCTATCGGCTGACATCTTCTTAGCTATAGGCTTACCTCACCTATGTGTTATCTAGTTGCTGCAATTCTTATATAAGTCATTATATCTGTCTGACTATCTACTGTCTGTCTATCTATCTATCTATCTATCTATCTATCTATCTATCTATCTATCT